ATATTTTTTTCCTTTGTATGTAACTATAATTTATCCTCTCTGCCTCTCTCTTTCCACATTGATATTTTGTAAAAGCCACACTTGTTCATAATCCAGAAAAGAACTTGGGATGAAGGCATCCTCATCATTCAAATTTGCATCCTAATTGATTTACAAGTCATACAAAAACACATGTAAACCAGACGATCCGCAACACAAAGCATTTTCTGTAGTAGAGGGAATCACAAAGTGGCGTGCAGGTACATTAAAACAAATGTTGAGCACAAGCAAAGGCAGAGTTAAACGCTTTAAATCCCTATTGATTCCAATGCTTAATTTGCCTGGATTGTGCCCACTATCTGTTTGGGGGGGGGGGTTGTTTTGCTTTTTTTTTTTTTTGTTCATGGACCTGGAAGGATATGGGGAACTGCAAGAAACAACTGAAGGTAAAGGCTATCAGTGGCCACACTGACTATGCTCTGGCTCCACAGTCAGAAGCAAAGTGCTTCTGAATACAGTGGTACCTCGGGTTACATATGCTTCAGGTTACATATGCTTCAGGTTACACACTCCACTATGGCAGAAATAGTGCTTCAGGTTAAGAACTTTGCTTCAGGATAAGAACAGAAATCGGGCTCTGGCAGCGCAGCGGCAGCAGGAGGCCCCATTAGCTAAAGTGGTGCTTCAGGTTAAGAAAAGTTTCAGGTTAAGAACGGACCTCCAGAACGAATCAAGTACTTAACCTGAGGTACCACTGTACTATTGCTGGAGGGAAGAATGATGTTGTGCCAGTTCCTGCTTACAGGCTTCCCATAGGGACCTGGTTGGTCACTATGAGAACAAGACACCGGACTAGATGTTCCAGCAGGCTTTTCTTACATTCTTACCTTTATATCATCAGTTGCTAAAGTTGCCATTTTTCACATTCATTATGGGAACTGATGCAACCTTCACAAGAACACGATTAGGAATAGTGTAAGCAGGCAGACTGGAGCTGCCACCTGACGCAGCTAATTTGAGATTGACGTGAAAAGGCAGCAAGTTGTTACTTCATTATTAGTAAGAGTAACTTATTGTTTATTTCAAGGCAGGTCAGGGAAGCGGCATTTTGTTGCCTTGTTTGCCCAAATGACTTGACCAGCCTTGAGTCCTACAGACCTTTACTTCGAACAGCTCCAGGCAGCAAAATGTCTTGGGCCAGCCTTGAAGGTAATTACTGTTCTCTTTAACTACAGCTGGGACAAACCTCCCCCTAACTCCTTTCTCTGGGGTGCTTGCCAAGATTACAAAAACTTCCTCCACTGTCACTTTAAAATATCAGATTTTAATATACACACAGAATTTGAACAAGAAAAATAATTGCCTTACAGAGGATATATTTAATAGGATGCTATTTACAGCAAATATACCTTCTTTTAAAAAATAAAAAAAACTTGCATACACAGATTTGTAGGGAAGGAGGGAGAGAGAGAGAGAGAGAGAGAGAGAGCATTCTTCTACCACTGATTAGTTTAATACTTTGAGCCTGTCCAAAAGAAAAGGAAAAAAAGAGACACTAATGAACCTAATAAAGAGGCTGGACTTAGAGTGGCTGTTAATCTGTATAACTAACTTCTCAAGAGGGGTGGGGGAAGCAATGCTTGGTGTCGATAAAACATTTCCTTAGTAAATTACTACTGGCTCCAGTGAAAGGCATTTACAGTAAACACAAATTGTCTGCAGAGCATCTGTTCTGTGGAAGAAGGAACTTTGCTCCATTAATAACTTCTAAAAACCATGCAATAAATAATTTATGCCAGCAGCTTAAACTCTGTTATCAACCTTCATCATTTAAGCTGATCATTTTCAGAGGACGACAGAAGGCAAAGTTTTCCGAATTTTAATTTTAAGAATATTTTTATTTATTTAGATAGAGAGACAGATACACAAACGCATGCATGAACATACTAACACATACCACTGTCCTCCTTTCACTTTTTCACATGAGGCCTGGATTAAAAATTGCATATAACTGTGACATCAGATTCTGATTTTAGTAAGAATGTATTAAATATGTAAAAAAAAAAAAAAGTATATACAGAGACAGTGTGTGAGAGCATATGTATATATAAAGTACTTGGTGGAATTTTAACATCAGACTTTACTAGAGATTTAGTGGGACTTTGCCGAAGGCAAGATTTTAATAGCAATAATAAAAAATACTTAATGGTACTTAGGGCAAAGCATGTGTGGTCACTATGTTTAAGAAAGAGTAATACCAAACATCTGTGCTAGATTTCCACATGATAAAAAAAAAATATCGCCAGATTCACTAAGGTTCTCTGAGACTCATGGACAATTAAAAAAACAAAACAAAAAAACCCAGAAGGGAGATGTGATAACTGTGTTTTAGAAATAGAAGTCAGTCATCCTAGGTTTTGTCATCGGAAAATCCTGTGGTTTGTGTTTAAATTGTTTCAAGTGCTGGGTTTGGATGTGGGAAGCCCAGGCTGAGATCCCCACTTAGCTATGAAGCTTACTAGGTGGGCTAGAGAAAGGCTTTAGCAAACCGTCCAACCTACCTCACAGAGTTGTTGTGAGATGAGGAAATCATTCTGAGCTCCCTGAAGGATGAGAGAAATGTAACCAACAAAATAATCCAAACTGTTGTTTTTTTGTTTTGTTTTTTTTTTGTTTTTTTTTACTCACCCAGGGAGCTTTTTCTCTTTAGTTGTTCTTATTCCCTGCACTTTTTTGTATCGCAGTTCTCTACCCTTATGTCTTGTTCACCTGCAAGCCAGCTCTCTTTTTAACATTTGTATACCAGTGACTGTGGGACGCAGGTGGCGCTGTGGGTTAAAGCCTCAGCACCTAGGACTTGCCGATCAAAAGGTCGGCGGTTCGAATCCCTGCGGCGGGGTGCGCTCCTGTCGTTCGGTCCCAGCGCCTGCCAACCTAGCAGTTCGAAAGCACCTTCGGGTGCAAGTAGATAAATAGGGACCGCTTACTAGCGGGAAGGTAAACGGTGTTCCGTGTGCTGCGCTGGCTCGCCAGAACAGCGATGTCACGCTGGCCACGTGACCCGGAAGTGTCTGCGGACAGCACTGGCTCCCGGCCTATAGAGTGAGATGAGCGCACAACCCTAGAGTCTGGCAAGACTAGCCCGTACGGGCAGGGGTACCTTTACCTTTACCTTACCAGTGACTGTGCACATTCTGTGAATAATAATGGACCTGAATCTAACTGTAGTGAGTCATTACTAAATCCCACTGAAACTACTGGGTCATGTTAGTCATGAAATTGTGGTGGTGGTTGTTGTTGCTGTTGTTATTAAACACACAGAGAGAGTATGCTATGACAGTAGAGTTATTTAGTTTGTGGCTTTTATCGATTCACATACACATTCCATGAAAATGAAATGGCAAGAGTGATTCTCCCACTGGCCACCACTGTGGGGGGGTACATATTTGGATCTGTGCAGAATATGGATCCTTCATGAGGGTCACGATTCAGACATTCAAACGTGCTCATAAAAGAACTGATAGTTGAACAGGCAGGGTTCTTCTTTTTTTAACAGCAGCTCATCCACTTCCAGCACCAAACTTTTAACCCCTTCCACAGGCCCCACCCCCCCAAAAAAATCTGGTTTAAAAATGACTTGCAGTACCTTGTGTGTAGGAAGGAAAGCTGCTATTCCAACAAGCTATGCTAGGATTTATTTTGGATAATAGCATATTTCAGTAGGTGCAACTTACTCCAGCAAGCCATGACCATCTGAGGAGCCGTCCAAATGATAAGATTGTGGGAAACAGCAATGTCTTCATTTTGAAAAGAGTGTAACTGAGGTAAGAATATGCAATGTGATTTATTCACATGAAAGGCAATGGAAATTCAAGAAACTGAGTGCTTCGTCATTCAATTTGCTTTCTTTGGGGCAACATACACATCATTAAATGCAAATGTACACATTTCTTTGGCATCATCCAAATGCTCACGATGCCAGTGTTTTTGATTCATCTGTCTGCTCACTTTAACACAGTTCTAAAAGGAGACTATGGGTGGCATTCAACTAAGGTTTACACAGATTAGGCCCACTGAAATGAACGGACATCTAATTTGGGTGCAATAATTTAAATGTGTCTACTCTTGAGTGAAACATAATTGAAAATCACCCTACACCAAAACCACTGGAGTTAAATTTAGAACACTTTCCAAAACTAGTATTTGCTAGCAATATTTTGTATCCAGCATTTTGGTCCCAGGGCAACTAAAAACCATTGTGTCCTGGCTCCCATGATGTATTGTAGAAAGACAGTGGTGAAATGTTAAAGACAGCTCTAAAAACCTTTAAAACTACATCAGGTGAGTTCAGATCAGAACAATTCATGGTTCACCAAATCCCTCCTCCATCCCTACTTCCAACATAGCACACAGACTTCGGTACTAGGGTTAGGAACCACATGCAACGGAAATGATCATTAGATACAAATGCCCTTCTCCAATCCCAGTCTGGTTGATGGACTTGAACATGTCAAAAGCTTCTTTTAACATTGCACCAAGCTGACTTGCAGAATCAGAGCTTTCTAAAAAGGGTTCTGGGTGCAGCTCTGCCTCCAGCTGCTTTGCATGTGCTTCAGTGGATTGGAGTCAGCATCTTCACACTGGCAATAGGCGGCATTTGACCAAAAATTACAACACGGGGACAAAAAGAATCCCCACCATTCCAACCTGAATTAACCATAAACCAGCAACAAAACTACTACATTAGGCGACATTAAAAAGTGTTAGTATTGTTAGAATTTTATTAACCAGCCCTTGTTTTGATGATGTAACTTGGCTTCTATAGAATTGAATATCGGTGCCAAAGAAAAACAACCTATTTAGTACACCATGCAACAAGGAGGGCTTGTGAACTGGGACTGTCTGAAAGACATGACAAGCAAAGAGGGATAACAACTTGCTGCTTCACATTTTAATTTCAAATTATGACACACCAAAAATGCTTAACTGGGTGCTCTTAGAAATGAACATGCTTTGCTTACCTCTCTAAGATGGATGTTCTCCTTCTCTTTCTGGTCTAAAATCACCTCTAAATGATTAACCTGAGATTCAGCCTCAGCCATCCTTCGCGTCCGTTCGTTGTCATCGTCCATCCCTTTGGACGGCAAGCCTTTGCTCTGCAACATTTCTAAGAGCTTTTTGATGGATTCATCTCTGGCATTCAGGGTCTGTTTCTGGGTTTCAATTCTCAGCTCCATTTCTTCCAAGGTTTTCCTCAAGAGAAACAGCTCTTTCGCCTGCCTGTCGTGCTCAGCTTGAAGCCTCCGAAAGTTCTCCTCCGTAAGCTCAATGGTGAAATGCTCAGCACCACGGTTTCCACTTTCTTGTTGAAGGAGATGGTTAAGGTCTCTCTGGGTCCGAAGCTCATCTTGGAGTGCCTGAATAGTTAGCTGAAGGTGCTGCAAGGCAAAAGGAATATCCGAGTGAGGATTTATTCAACGGATCTACAAAAAATGCAATGCCACAATCATTAATAAAACTAGTGGTGAAAATCTAGCAGTGTGCAAGTGATGTTATTTTGCAATGGACCTCCTTGACTGCTGTTAGAAATCATGAAAAGATGGATGCAAACACACAAAGACAGTGCCAGTTACAGGTACCAGTAATAGTGAAGAACAAATCCTAAGACAAGGAAGTGAAAAAAGACAGTAAGTAAAGGATGTAGATGTCAAAGAGTGACACTTCCGCTAGCAAACACTGCATCTGCTGAGCCTGAATATTCAGTTTTCAGGGTTTTCTTAGACATAAAGTCTGCTTCTTCGTACAGTGCAATTGTGTAAGTTATTAGTGCTAATCACTTGGTATGAAAATAAAGAAATTAAAATGTTAAATGACACTGCTAATGAAAACTATGATCCAGTTAGTTTAGGAAGTCAGATTACTGTATCTACAGCAAGCATATAAAAGATCACACATTAAGCAATATTGCACTTTCCAAACAAATTGACTGCAAAGAGTGAACAAACCTTTGTTCTCCTGGCATCCAAAAACTGAACAGCATGGGAAATGAAAAAAAAAATGAAGCAAAATCAACATAAAGTTTAGGTGCAAGCAAAGGAGATTCAACAGAAAAGACTAAATTTAACATAAAGTACAATGAACAGAAAAGAAAACAACACTTTATACAAGACAGTCACAATTTTACAGTATTTGCACACACAGAGAGACATACACACACACACACATATATTTCAAGCAGTCGAAACTATACTCTTAGAGGTAAGACAAGAAGAACTTGGTCTGGATCCAAAAACATGACCAAATGAAACAAAAAATTACCGTCTAGCACTGTCCTGCAAATGTCCAGGCAAGTGTTAATTGAAAAGTTCAAACCCTGGTCGACTTGTATTAAAGTTCTTGTTAAGTAAGAGATTGTGCAAGGGTAATGACATGTATGAATTTAATTTCACCTTTTCATGCATCATTCTAGTACAAGATGCAGAACAGCACTTCCATCTGTAAACATCTGTACCTGGAAATGCATCTTTGGATCCAAACCATGGTTCATAAATTATACACAATAAAGTTTCCAGTCCTCAAAAAAGAGTTACAAGATGGTACATCCTCTTGGGACTGTACCACCTCAAAATACATGTGGGGGGGATTGAGTGACTGAGTGTTCCTCAATATTTTCTGTTCACACAGACAGCTAGAAAGTCAAAAGAAAGAATTCCAGCTTAGCCTTTTCTCTGGCGTACAGGGAAATTTTCAATATTGTCACCCACCTGCATCCTGGCGGGTGCTCTACCATGAGTTATTTCTGACCATTAAGCAACGTTTTATAAAGCATCCATTTATATTTCACTTCCTTTTAGTCATCAATAGTAGGGTTTTTTTTCCATACAGCATGCTCTTAACCAGTGGTTCCCAATTGGTGGTCTGTGGAGCCCAGGGGGATCCGCATAATGTGTTGAAGACTATGGGGTCCGTGGCACCATCCACATAACAATAACTAACTACCATAGAAATATCAAAATTTTAAAACGTAGCGGGTCCATAGCTTGGCTTTTGAAAAATAGGGGCCCACAGTACTTAGCTAACGGGGAACCACTGCTCTTAACTATTCTTTTCTTGCTGCTGGGTGTGTTAAGTCACTGTCTTAACCCCCTTGCATTGCACCTAGAACTTGACATATACACAGGCTCCACCCACCCACCGACATACGCTCACACACCTGTGTCAATTAAAATGTCTGAAAGGAGCCTAGGAAATATATTGTTCACAGTACAGACCAGGATATGGACCTGTAAGCTCCTGTGCATTCACGGGACTTCAAATAAGTGGTGGCTGGAGGCACAGCAAACAGGGACTATCCAACCTCTCTTCCCCTCCCGGTTCATCTGTATCTATGGTCATCAAGGGACATCTCTACTCCCTTCAGAACCCACTTTCTATGAAGTATAATATGAAGAAAGCAGTCAAAAACAGAAGGAATGTTTGAGTGTGGTCTGCTTCCACTGCTTCCATTTAGTGTGGAACTGCCACCCATCATTCACTCAGTTCTTTATAGGACATCTACATAACATTGTCACTGAATGATAGTCTTCGATTTTATTTTTTTATCATGTCTCAGAAAATGCAGAAGAGAAGGGGATGGCCCTCTCCACAGATGGGGATGGTCCTTGGTGCTTCCTCTTTGATCTTGCTCAGGGGGTTCTGACTCGTGCAGTGATTTGTGAGGGCTGGCCCTATCACTATATCTGTTCGGAGGGGAAAGGCTATGTTTCATCTTCAAAAAACGCACAGTAACCTTACAGTGTACAAGGGAAACAGTAATTAAGAGAGACACCCTGAACTGCCTACATCTTGGACAGGGTCAGGGGGAGGTGACCTGATGTAACATTGCAAGAGTGTGGAGAAACTTGCAGAGCCTTTATCCAGACACAGAAGAAATGCAAATCAGGATTTATATTTTTTTTTTTGCCATGGAAAAGCTTGGAAAGCAGGGAGCCTATCACTACTTTGCAGGCTCCGCCACAACCCAGTGCTGCTGTGAGCCAGCAGCTCTCCCCTTCGACAGCTCTAGAAAAATCAGGACCAATCACCACACTGTCCTTCTCCAGCCTCCAGAGCAAGCAAGGGAGGCTCCTGGTATGGCTCTGGATAAGGCAAAGTTCCTTCCATCCCCCTTACATACCTAGACCAAATGCTATATAATATATTTTTAAATAACTATTCCCATTTCCCATTCTTCAACAAGTTTATCTGCTTAAACCCAATTACTTCGATAAACGCATCTTCCTAGATCAAAGATCAGGTACCTGCACCCCTCCAAATACTGGATTACAGATCCCACCATCTCTGCACCCTGGTTGTGCTGGCAGGGGCTGATGGCAGGGGCGGAGCAAGGGGGTGCAGTAGGTGCGGACCGCCCCGGGTGGCACCACTGAGGGGGGTGACAAAATGCTGGGCGGCACTCACCGTGGGGCCTGCAGCACATGTAGGCTTGGGCCCGTGCAGGCTCTGCATCTGCCCACTGCCTTCCCCCCAGCTGTAGGGTTGCTGAGTGGGAGGAGGCAGGCAGACTCCTCGGAGGCCCTGTGCTGCGTCCGACCCCTATGGGCGGCACGCCCCACCCCTGGGTGCGACACCTCAGGCACCCAAGTGGCTTCCTCCGCCACTGGCTGATGGGAGCTGGATTCCAACAACATACAAAAAGCCATATGTTCTCCATGTCTGCTGTAAGCACTTTAAAAAACTGGTTAAAATTTTAATTTCCGCAATTTCACGTTAATGAACTATAGCAAAGAACTATGATATTTTTTTTAAAAAAAGTTGGTGCCCTTACGTTTTTGGGTTTGTTTTTTGTACAAACACACACCTAAAAGACAGTGCTAACATGGTGCTGAGTGGAGAGAAGAAGAAACAATGAAGTGAAGCGCCTGCTTCACATGTAAAGAGAAGGTTCTCTGTGTGAAAAGGGAGTGCGTGGAGAACACTGGCATGAAGCTTGTCAGTTTCAGCCACTGCTTTCCTTTATCCTTTTGGTGAGATGGCTTGGGGAAACAATTCATTAAAGCAATAGCTTCAGAATTAAAGTGACTATGAGGAATAGGGGAAAGAGAAGGGGGAAATACTGACCACACAACTATCTTACACCCACTGTGGGGCTGGAACATAGTGAGATGCACACCTTAAATGAAAGGCTGTGTCTCATGAAGTGTGGAAAGTCAACTGCAATTACGATGTCATCGCAGCTTACAATGGAACAGCAACAAATGAGCAATTCTAGGAGCTGCCCATCTGGCAGCATCCTGTGCCATATAGGTAGTTCATAGCCATTTTGGTCTATTAGATTAACACAACACGATGCACCAAAGCTCAAAATATGGCCTACCAAGCAAGAAAGAAACAACTGAAAAATAATGGGCAGAAATAGGCAAACCTTTTCTGAGTTCAGAAGAGGGTGAAATTGCAGCTAAAGGCACTCCAAAGAAAGTGGACGTCAGCTTTAATTCAAACATGGAAGCTAATGCACTTGATTTAGCTTTCGTGCAGAGGCAGATGAGACTGCTTCTATGCTACCAAGTGATTAACCGTCAGTCATATTTATTTACAACTCCAACATTTCAGCAATGAAAATAGGGACAGTCGGGTGAATTTCTAACATGTCCCTTACATGCCGATCTGGTTGGGTTTTAATGCTTAATTATGATTTAGGGATATGCCTTAGGCTCAAGGGCAGCTGCAAGGAGATTAGACACTTTTGCTTCTTAACCATGGTTTATCGTCGGGTCCAAATCTGAAACCATGGTTAAGGGCATTGGCGTTGCATCCCATTTCGCTGCTTGAGGCAAAATGGCAAATGCCTTCCTGCCCCGCTACCACTGTCAGCAGAGAAGCAGTGCCAGCATCAGGTGAAATCTCGCTCATGCATGTGAATTTACATGTAAGTAAACTAGATTCAAGGCAGGTCTCTCAAGAGATTCGACACCTAGAAACCTGGACCAAAGTTGACAACTTCAAAAATGGGCCTAGTGCTCATGAGAGCAAGCTCATGCACTTTTCAAAATGCTGAATTCCAAAAGGCAAAATTTGGACGATTTTTACGTGAAGCAAATTTCCAAAGGGGCACATCTGCACAGCGAGATACTTTGCACTTCCTGTCAGTGAAGGTTTCATCACAAAAACCCACATGTGGATGACAGATTAGCAGTGTAGTCCTCAAAGGAAGTGCCTTACTTCTTCTCACAGGGATTAGTGGTAGCCATTCACTACTATGAAAAAATTTAAAGGGTTATGCCAGAGGTCTCCAAAGGCCTGAGGGACTCATTTATCCGGCCCGCGGGGGCCCCGCCGCCCACTGCCATCGCCCACTGCCCTGCGTGGCTGCCCACTTCTGGGTTGGAGGAGCACCAGAAATAGCTTGTGCGCATGTGCAAGTGTTATTTCCGGTGCA